TGCTTCTGGTAGAACGGTATAGATCCAGACATGCTGCAGGCCACTCCTCACACGAGCCCTGAGTTTCCGAGTTTCTTCCTGTCTATCTGCTTGTCTGTCAGGTTAGTTAGTGGTCAAGAGCATGTGGATTCACTGTCAATACAGGGTAGGTTCACAGCAAGCTTTTTGACTCTTTTTGCTGAACATAAATAGTTAATCTAATTGTCATAGTGGAAAAAATTAGACTGTACTAAGTGTACTAAAGGTATGATGGCCAAAAACTACAAATAGTTTCTTGATCAACAAAGACAGTTTAAGGGAACCATCATAAAACCTTTCAAATCAAACCTGCAACATCAGCTACAAAGACATGATATACAGTTTCAGGCAATCAGGCACTTTCTCGGCATGCTTACACAGACATATGCAACAACTACAACCTTGCACATCACATCTTACCCCCAAAGTAGTCACTTACTCTGGACAAACTCTCTCAATTCTAAGCTTTAAATGAAAAGATGGTCCAACTCCACACACTCTTAAGTTTGATATCCCAAGCAAACCCGCAGGTAGGCACACACACGGCTGCGGTCTACACAACAAAAATAATATTGGCCTTAGTCAGAGTCCAAGCAGCAGTCACAGCCTTTTATGGTGAGAGTGGAGATAAATATAGCTAGGAGCAGAGCTGGGGGGCAAGTCAACTCCCATAGTGCAAAACACTTATGGGTGCAGGTCTCTGCCAGTGGGCTTGATATGCAGGTAAATACAAGGCTAGTGTTTGAAGTTTAAATTGCCAATTAATGTCAAGGTTAAATTGTTAATATCACTTTTAGTGTTGCATTAAATCTATATAATATTAATTTTTTTACATGTTTTGTATTTATGAATGCTGCTTATTTATATTTGTCATTTTTAAATATTTACTACCACTTTTTTTTAATTGAAATTGTGCCACACCACCAAAGCACCTCATCAACCAGCTTTTCCTCGAGGCCAAGCTTCCCCAGAGGTTCCCAAGGTTTTTCAGTATTCTTTAGTCAGTGTCTGATATCTTCTAATTTTGTTTTAAGTCTGTTAAGACTGTGATGGCTCAAAGCCCAAAGTGTGGCATTGCTGGTTAGCCTCCAGCAGCTTTTTATCTTGGCTTTTGACTGTAGCGGTCTCAGCTGTGACCGTTGCTAACTTTAGCAATGCTATTGTTATGCTCATTGCATACAACAAATGCCAGTTAATGTCTCTTTGTCACTCTCTCTTTCAGTGTCACTGTCATTTGGAGAAGTGCATGAGTGTCTCCTCTTGGTCACTCTGCTCATAAACAGCTACTAAGAAGGTCAAATAAATAAAACTCAGAAGCCAGTGGCTAATAGAGCACATAAACATAAACTAACATGTTTCTATTTACATGCAAATATAGTGAGCTTTACGTCATTTGCCTGGTGGAGATAATTTGAGCTCTATCTGTGTTTGGACTTTGTTCTGGAATTTGACTTCAGGTCAAACATCTGACAATTTCCATGGCAAAAATATCATGTCAGTGGGCACTTCAGGGGCTTTTGTTCTGACCATTCTTTCCTTTTTGGCTCTCACTCATCAGTGTTCAACATAATACGGTCAGCAATCAGCATGACAGCATACCTTAAACATTATGGCAGCAACATGAAGTGTGAGCCCATTAAAAGAGATAAGCCCACCTCTGTACACTGAGGGAGCTAGTACAAGACATTAAGCAGGGTCACAGTACTTCATTCTGTCTAATGAAAATAGCTTACCCACTAAACAAGCCTCCAAGATGATAGATTTGAACTGGTTGCATTAACTGAAAAACAAGGGAGTTGCAGAAATCATCAGATAAACAGCAAGTTTGTCTGCGACTGGTTTCACGTGTGAACATCCAGCTCCAAATCAAATCAAACACAACTTTTCATTATGCATTAAATCAAAGTTCAAACTCCATCCAAACTCCGGAGGCCCTGGCGGACTGACCCCCGGGTGCCAAGACTGGCAATAGGGACAAAGTTCAAACTAATTAACATATTGTTTCAATTTGCCTAGTCTTAATCAGTTTATTATAACTTGTGTGTACAAGTGTGTATTTCATAAGTGTGTGCTGTTTAGGGAATCTGCAGATTTTCTCTTTTCAGTCAAACTTGTCTTGTTTACTTTGTATCGAGGCCTCAGTTTCAATAGAAAACCTCTCAACAAGACAAAGAAAATTACATTTCTTTTTTCATTTTAATGAACTGAGTGCTAATAACAAGTTAGATGGTTTCTCTCCTTTTTAGTCTAGATGATGTGATGTCTATGTTTTTCAAAAAAGAACTCAAATTTTGATGTGTCTCAGCACAGAACTGTTTAAAACTTTCACATAATTTGGCTTCTTTGCACGATAAAGTTTGATTCTGCATTTTAGGATGGCACGATCTACTGTGTGCACAGACACAGTTTTCTGGGCCAATGTTCAACACAGGTCTAACTGAGCTGATGATACAACCATTCACACCTGCAGTCAATTTAGAAGCTCCCGTAAACTCAACATACATGTCTTTGTACAGTTGGAAGAAGTGTGAGTACCTGAAGAGGAAAATGTGCAAAACCAGCATTTAAAGACCCGACCATGGCAGCAGATCCATACCCAGAACCTCCTTGCTAGGAGCTAACACAGTGCTAGCCGCTGCTCCACCATGCCACATATAAATTCATAGTTCATATTCATATTTTCTTAAGTATTCAAACAGTATGAAAATCCCTCCATTGTTGGATTCATCTGGCTTGCACAGAACTGTTATAGTATTTTTTTTTCTAATTATCCTTTTACATTATATTCTACACACAGACCTTCATCATCCCCTCCATACTCACCAATGCTACATTTTAAAGCCGCTGTGTTACACCACAAGCTACAGTAAACTGCATAATTAGTGCGTATGACTGAGCATCAAAGAACAGCATGTAGCTGCTCAGTATCTCCTACCAAAAACATCTAAATAGCCCTGAAAATAAGCCCCATTCACCAAACAGCTGCCACCCACAGCTGATAAACTCTTCCTCAAAATACTAGCTTGTTTGAAAGTTTAAAGTTTGTATTGGCACAGTGAAGTCCCCATGGTATATGAAGAGTATCATAGTCTACATAAATATGTTTTACAGAATACAGTTGATTTTATCACCTTATTGAAACAGTTTGCACTTAGTTATTATGACTGTAAGTAAAGCACAAAACTGGTAAATATAAAGCCTGTGAAGTCTTGTATTATTGACACGTTTGAATGACCACAAAGGTGTAGGTGTATTCAACTCAAGGTTACAGTTTTGAGGTTATGGTTAGCTCTGGTGTAATGGTACATTATACTGAGAGGTTTTTCTAGTGTTGTGTGGGGTTCCCACTTCAAAAACAGAAATGATTTGCTTAACCACAATATTACTCTGACTCACTAAGATTTGAACAGAAAGACAGTTCACAGCAATGAACTGAGTTTAGCTGTCCAGGAAATTCCCACTGTATGGATATCAGGGGATCTGTTGAGGCTATTTTTATCTTCTGTGTTTGTGCTGCATCAATGCTTTGAAGCTATATAAAGTTCGGAGATATGAACATATTCAGTTCACACGAAGTGACACTCTAAGAAAGGTAAGTAAATATCTCAAGAAGTGTTTAAATATGCATGAGAAGTTTCATGTGTAAGTAGCAGCCTCTAGTGGGTGAATGCAGTACTGCAATTCTAAGTAAAAATAAATAAATAAATGCAAAACTTAAAATACAATCGTAAAATATTTTCCAACATTAATTTTCTCTTTTCATTTTGAGTGGCTCGGTTGTGTCTCTCCTAAACACAGAGGAGGAGTAGAAACTAACAGTTTGGTATCTATATGTATAATTGTAAAAGTCTGGTTATTGTAAAATATATAAATATTCATGAGTCATGACACTCATTTTGTTATCAGCTTTGAAAGTGCAGTGCTAAAGGTAAGTGAACCATGCACAGTTTAAATTTGTTGTAGCTTTTTTTTTAGATAAACTATTTTTGTTTACAAAATAATTAACTACTAAAATCACAAATTAAGTGTGGCATACAACGAAAAAAATGATTTTACTGTTACTTATCTTCTGTAACCGGACCCACTCAATGAGCCACATTCCCCTTTTCGGGCATGCCTGGGCAATGCGTTCATGAGGCAGCACACAACCATATGCTTCACCTCTTTGTATGTTTGAAGCTTTAAACTAGGCTTCTTCCTCTGGCTTTGCTGCGAGTAAAACTTTTTCCAGTGTGAAGCTGTTTCCCTAACACTGAAAGTGATATGACAGGTGGACAACAAAGGCAGACGTGGCCTGTTTTAACTGTGAGTCAATAGTTCCACGTGTTGCTTTTGAAGCCCTGCAGCAGTAATCCTCTGTTTACAGCAATGACTGTGGTACCAACTGTTGTCTGACCCATCGTCGGACAAGTCGGACTATAATTATCCTCTATGTCAACATTTCTTCATTTTGTTATGGTTTAGTATTTGACTTCCTTCAATATTTCATTATCTTTTCCTGTTCGATTTACCTATTCAAATCTTCAACGAGGACGTTCCCAGGAAGACATCATAACATATTCTTCAACAATAAATAACACGTAAACAACATTAAAAGCCCAATGATAATGCAACAAAGGAGAATCATAAATAACAAATGATCAGTGTCAACGTAGTTTAGTTATGAGGATGACCCAAATATGACCCAAATATGACTAAATTTCTGTTTTTCCATTAAAGGAATGAATGAAATCAGCTGTTAGAAACGTGTTTAAAAAATACATTAAAGATAAATTTATGTGTTGAATAGTTTAGAAAATAAGAGAAACGTTAGAATAAATAAAATATGGAATTTTAAAAATTCCATCCTCCCACGGGGATCATTGAAACTACACACCTTTCCTTAATTGCTCATCGCAGGGAGGATGTATGTCGCTATTTCCTTAAAAGGACATATCCTTGAAAGTCAATGCAGGCAGAGAGTGGAAGTTACAATTACTCCAAAGAGGGAAGTGTTAAAAATTATTTTGTATTTTATTGCTAATAATGCTAGAATTATTTAGATATGTTTTCAAACGGAGTTTTAGACAAGTTATTTAAGAATTACAATTAGACTGAAACATGCAATTAATTCCAAATGAGAAATAATGGCTTCATTCTTGACCGGCACCCCCATAGTTCTTCATTGGTTTGGTCTGGTGTTCTGTACGGAACCCAGCAATATTATGAGGAAGTGAAGGGCGGTGGTTGAGAAAAAGAACGGCACAGGGCTAGCTGACGGTTTTCTGGAAGTTGTCAGGTAAGTCTGTGTTTATATCTTATTTTAAAGAGCTATTTAGTTGCATTAAACACACTCTGATATATACAAAACACGGATTTAATCCCGCTGCTAAAACTTCATATCTTAAAAGAAAACGTAATGTGTTGCTCACTCGTTGGTAGCCTTGAAAACACGGCTAACAGTTAGCCGCGTAGCTAATGGCTCTGTTACGAAATTGGTCGCAAGTAAAGAAATATTTTCAGCTAGTAAATCCCGCGGTTAGCTTCGTGAGTTGAAAATGTGTTTGTGAATTGGGTTATCGCCAGTGACTGTTGGGTATTTCATATAAATTATGATGTTGGTTAATACAGGCCGCAAACCAGAAGAGTGTGCAGGTACGGTCAGCTTTTTAAATCATATAAATATCGTGTTTAACTTTTTTGGCTTATTCGAAGTTAATTAATGTCAATTGTGCATTTGTATGACCGCTGGGGAGAAGAGAACATTTAATTAAAAACGCGTAAATATGATATATGCGTAAATCAGCTTTAGTTGTTAGTCAGTCGACACGGTTAACCAACAATCACCAGCTGTCTTCAGTCAGCTTTTCAGATTCATTCTCAGTAGGCATAACATTTGTCATTTTATTCTATTTTTTTTATTTAATAAGTTATAGGGTAAGACGTTGCTCATATTTTCTTTCCTTTTTTTGTTGCACTTGTCAGTGTTTCAGATAATATCAGCCCACATCACTGTTTTTACAGGGCATCACATGCATAGCGAGATAATACTTGCTGCCTGAGCTGGTTGAATCCATTTTCCATGAGCGCAGAGCAGCAAAACCCAAAGTGTCTGTCAACATAAAGATGTTAACGTGGGGACAGTTCAACTCTTTATTCAAGACTTTGCCTGATAAGGGCATCTGTCCTCACATCGGTAGTTTTCCTACCCTCTTTGAAAGCAGTGAGCTGATCAACCTAGAAAGATGAGGAACATTTCCATTTATAGCTCAGTGAGGGACACCTCACTGGGGATTCGCTGCCAGAGAATTATATTACCCTGCTACTCATGTGTGGATGTGACTGACAAACTCTTATTTTGAATAATGGCATCATCTACTTTGATCTAAATGCTGAATTGTGCTGCCAACTTTTGTCTGTCTTGTGGTGTTTTCTTCCACATTGTGCCTTGGCAAATGATGCTGTTTCCTGTAAATGGGGAATAAGTTGGCATTCATCCCTATAACATTGCATCCTGATTGGAATTCTTGAAGTCTTTTCAATCAAATGAAAAGTCTTTTAGTTTAGTCTTATCAGATGTAGAAATCAACCCAACCTAAATCAGTTTCCAGTTTGTTTCTCAGTAGTTAATCAAATGGAGCTGTAATTCAAAAAGATGTGTAACCTGATGTCTGTTAATTTCCACAGAAACAAAACATTCACAATGTCTAGCAAAAGGGCTAAGGGAAAGACCACGAAGAAGCGCCCTCAGCGCGCCACTTCCAATGTCTTCGCCATGTTTGACCAGTCCCAGATTCAGGAGTTTAAGGAGGCCTTCAACATGATCGACCAGAACCGAGATGGGTTTGTCGACAAAGAGGACCTCCACGACATGCTTGCCTCGCTGGGTGAGTAAAATTCTCAGACGTCTTAAGGAGGTCAAATGTATGCCATTCATGCTCTGTTCGTATTCATTTGGGTGTGTACTGATGTTAGCTGTGCTTAAACTGGTTCTACAGGCACACGTATTTAAATTTGCTTTTAGCTGTTAATAAAAATAATGATTGCCTCTATCATTTGAGCCTTTCAGGTTTGAGTAGAGAAAAGGTGCTCTTCATAGATCTATACTGGTTCATTAGAAGAAAATGGTGCAGTAACTGCTGTGTGACCTGTTCCTGCCAATGCTACTGCTATGCAGGGTTTCCACCCATGTATTTCAAGCTCCTAAACGGAGCCGCCTACCCAGACTAATGTCTGAAAACAGCTGGTAATTTTAAGCTTGGCTTTAGGACGAGAAGTACAGCTGCTGTTTAATATACCTTTTTATTTTAACACATTCAGTAAGCTGTGAAAGGGTTAGAACTGCTAAGCAAAAGACCCAGGCAAATGTTACAACTTATTACTCTTTTACTCTTGGTCTTATAACTTGTCCGGCAGAAACCCTACACTTAAAAGGCTTCACTCTGCTTCTTTGATAGGAAGCACAATGAAAATAATAATGGTTTGAAGCTGGGATTAGCTGGCTGAAGTTGCTTTATAGAGAAATAAACACAGGGCTCTCGGTACAGAGAACATTGAAGGCAGTAAGATGTTTGCCCAATTTAGTTTTGTTCCTATTAGGATAAGAAGTTGTTTGAAAATAGAAAAGTCTCCTCTGAATTCAGTTTGCATCACATATGTTTATCTACACAGGCAAAAATCCCAATGAGGACTACCTGGAGGCCATGATGAATGAAGCTCCTGGGCCCATCAACTTCACCATGTTCCTCACCATGTTTGGAGAGAAGCTCAATGGCACAGACCCCGAGGATGTGATCAGGAATGCATTTGCTTGCTTTGATGAGGAGGGGACAGGTAACTTCCTGTTGGTGATCCACAGTCTCATGGGGTTTTTTTTTGTTTTTGCTTTTTTTTAATTTGAAGAGGGAACTGTTGCAGTTATCTGATTTTGACCATTATCCACTTCAGGTTTCATCCAGGAAGATTACCTCAGAGAGCTGCTCACAACAATGGGTGACCGGTTTACAGATGAGGAGGTGGATGAGCTCTTCAGGGAGGCCCCCATTGACAAGAAGAATAATTTCAACTATGTGGAGTTCACACGCATCCTAAAGCACGGAGCCAAGGATAAGGACGATTAAGGAGCTACACCAGCGTTCTCTCTGTGCCCTCCACCTCTCTGTCGTCAGCTAGATCACCATGCTGCATGTCTCAACTCCAGTTTAAACCCTATTTTAAACAAACCAAAGCAATAACTATCAACACGGTTTGCTGTGAACTTCCAGTATTGCCAAATTTACACATCTTAGAAGAAAAATCTGAATAGTGTTGTTTTGTCATGTAAAGATGTGAAGTGGCAGCACTTGGAAAGCTCTAAGGAAATGCATCTTTGCAATTCATGTGATTGGGTTTAGCTGAGTTTTTACATTTTCTAATATAAACTTTTTAAATAAAAGCCCTCTATCAAGTTGTATTTTGCTGTTTCCCTTCCATAAATGACAACTGAAATAAGTGTTGCATTATTTTGTCTTTATTTTATTGCCTCGGGTGAAACAAAATTCTTAAGCAACAGATTTTTTTTTTTTTTTTTTTCTCCCCCCCTCATTGGGATTTTTGTCAAGTCTCTACAAGCCTGCTCTTCCTCCGATCCAATTCAATCAGCATGTGCAGGCTAGCACTAGGTGATGTTTGTGCAAAGTCCAGTGCAAACAATAAAATCTGACCTTTATAAAAATGAAAGGAAAACTGCTCAGTACATACCTGCATGCTGTCTGCTTCATATCAGGGAGTGATCTAGTATAATAAAAATGCTTATCTATGAAACATATACAAAAGGATGCTAACCTACCAGATGAGAAGGACGGGCTTAAATCCATCCTGGAACTAAATTTTCTTTGGTTTTTGGCAGAACTACATTTACAGTGTTCATTTCCCAAAATCTTGTTTGAGCGATGATGCTAAATCAGTCTGCACTTTACAGCTGCGCCCTCTTTAAATGACAGTCCATGCTTTAAATGGCAGGTTAAAATACAAAATTATTTTTGGCGCAGAAAGACCACTTAACCCTCCTGTTATGTTGCGGGTCAGATTGACCCAGAACAGAAGAGATGTCATCTGCATCACTACAGAAAACGAAAATAAATCTAAATTGTAAAATAATCAATGGTAGTATTTCTGACACTTTTGGATGAGTAAATTTGTCCCGGGTCAAATTAACCCAGGAGCATAATTGGTGTTCCTGGAAACCAACATAACAGGAGGGTTAAGCTATGACGACCGGCCGCAAACTCAAAACGTTATTTTGAATAGGCTTGTGCAGTGATAATGTCGCCCTCTAGTGTCTGAGTGGAAGGTTCAAACCACATGACGCTGCCTTCAATGATGCCTCGATTATTGGACATACAAAACCTTCATAGGAAGGTCAGAAAACTATTAAAACGAGTTATCGGAAATGAACATTTATTGCGAAGAGACTAAGAGAAGTGAAGGTTACAGTGAAAGTATGGATTTCAGACACTGCTTCTTTCGTCTGCTCCCTTTAGGGGTTTCATACAAATTTAATAATAAAAGAAAGAAATATATATCTTTTTCTACACCACGAATTTCAGATGTGTGAAGAGCTATGCTAATCTACAGCAATTCTCTTGTTATATGCTAATTTAAGAATTACTTCTTGATTTGGAACATCAAGACGCGTGTGAAATCAAGAAGAACAGACTTTGAGGGTGCCTTGAACGCCTCGTGCTCCTTACGGAGTCACGTTTGGTAGCATCTCCGGTGTCAGCAGTTATTTTACCCTTTTCCGCTGTTGGAAGGTCCAGGTACGAACTTTTTCAGTTTACTGTCGTCACATTTTTGTTTTTATTTATATTTCCGAAGTGTCAGCCCTATGAAAAGTTAGTACAAAGAGCAGTGCGGCTCTGCTAGGTTACACATGAGGCTAGCACCTATGCTAACGTTAGCTAACAGCAACCTTCAAGGTTGGTTCGCTAAAAGAAACTAAGACAGACGTTTCCTGTATTTAAAACATTTTGGTGAATACCAGAGACATTTTAGTTTTCTATCAATATATATATTTAAATTTTGTAAGTAAGGTGGCATTTACGCAAGGATAATATTGTCAATGGCCAAAAATAACAGATGTTATCTTTGCCTTGAATTATTTGCATACCAGTCTAGCGTCTTTGAAAAAGCCACCCATGAACTGCTCATTTTAAACAGGAAAACGTTTGGAAGGAGTCTCTGACTCTTGGTGTTTTTTTTTTTTTTTGTTCTCTCACTTATTTAAAAATAGTCTTAATAATTTTGTGTTTTTATTTCGTTTTAGCTCAGCTGGGACCGGTGAGTCCCGGACCAGGGTCATGGCTCTGAAGCTGATTCAGAGGATTCCGTTCAGGATCCGATGTTATCCTGCTGGATCCGTCAGGCCTCTGAGTACCAGCAGCCAGGTCTTATGTGTAACTTGCCTGTGTACATCAGCCGGCCGGTGTATCAGGATATGGGGCTGCCGGAAGCTACTACAGGACAGCGTGACGAGGAGTCTGACCACCATCGTCAGGGAGCCTGCATTCATCACCAGCAGCTCAGTGGGAATCCACAGAGATTCGGTCCCGCGGTTTTGTCTGACCCAGCTGCACCGACCCACAGCTATAGAGGAGCAAAGTTTCCTGCACCGTCTAGAGACCTGCTCCTCCTCCAGGCAGGTTTTCAGACTGCTGCGCTCAGTGAAAATCATGTCTGACACCATGGCCGCAGCAGCCCTTCACCGTGTGGCCGACTTGGAGCAGGAGGGTGGTGCTCTGACCAACCCCACTGTGTTGGAGGAGGCCACTATCAGGGCCCTGTGCTTCCAGCTGGAGCAGGACTCTGGACGGTTGACTAATGCTGGACTGGTTTCGGCTCTCTTGGCTTGCACACGGCTTTACTTGGATCCCTGGAGCACACTGATGGTAAGGCTCATGTCTGAGAGCCAGGCAAGGCTTGACAGGGGGGAGATGACCATAGGGGAACTGTGTACTCTGGGGCAGGCGATGCTGGCCATAGAGGGTCCAGGCAGTGTGATGTTGGAGCAGTTGATGGAGCAAATCCAGAGGCAGGAGCTTTCCAATTGGAGCCTAGCAGACCTTGTTGCTGTTTATAGACTTCTGCAAGGTGGTGTGGGTGTAGATGGAAAATACAGGGACCTCCTGAATGCCATGCACAGCCACGCTGTGACTGTTACTTCCCGTATGGATCCTGCTGCTGTCAGCGGGGTGCTCGGCGCTCTCGTAACCCTGAATCAGATGCAGGCCATGCCTCTTGTGATCAATCTGTGTAAGCAGGCTGTGCGGCATGTGCCTCACTTCACCGATGAGGAGCTCACCCATGTACTTGGGGCACTAATGCACTTTGGTCACAGTGATCATTACTTTATGGGGGCGATGGAGAAATATGTTCCTACAGTGGCCTTCACCTCCCACCCAGAGACAATTACTAAAGTGATGCAGTTCTTTGGACGCAGGAACATCCTTTCCCCGCCCGTCTTTGATGCCATCGCTGAGAGCTTTGTGTACCGAGCAGATGACTACAGCACCAGCCAGGTGGCTAGGCAGATCATGGCTTTTGGGAAGCTGGGATACCTCCCACCCAATGCGGGCCAGGTGTTCGGGAAAGTAGAAACTATCCTACACACACGTTTCTCACACTTCCAGCCTCGAACGCTGCTCAACCTGCTCCATGCCTGCACCCTGGTGGAGAGGTTCCCTGTTAATTTTGTCTCCAAAGTTTTCAGCAGTTACTTCCTCCAGCAGCTGCAAGGTAAATCGTAATGCCAACACATGCTGTGTCATGAGTGCATGATTTAACAAAATATTGCTGACGTCATTTCCTGCTGTGTGTTTTTGTCCTGTAGAGCAAAGCATGGGAATTGACCGGGCTGCTCTGGCACAACTGACTCAGCTCTACATGACTGTGAAGTTGGAGTGTCCCTTCTATGAGGTAAAGTATTTAGAACAATGTGAGGGTTAGACACTTGGAAAGCTGAATGACACAGGAACAATGCAAAACCTGAATACACACCCACATGCTTAACTCATCATCGGTGTGTGAGCTTCAGTGCATTTTAGTTATGTGGCATTAGGAGCAAATTATTTATCAATTTACTTATCTAGGGTCACTTTATTGTTTCTACAGTGTTCAGTTGTATTTTATTTAAATTTGACTTACCAACCTCCAATTCCGGTCTTTTATCTAGTTTTCATTTTTTGAGATCCAAAAACACAAACTAACAAATGTATACACGTTCTGTGAGCTTTTATAAAAACAGGATGATGTGTTTTTATTGTGTTTTTCTCATTTCAAATGGATAGAAAACACACGTAAAGGTAAACAAAAAGAAGTGAATACTAATAACACTTATACTGCTCAGTGTTTTGTTTTCAAATAAATGAAAATCTGTAAGTCACACGTCATAGCAGGCTATATGAACACTTTCCTGTGTCAACCTTTGTTTTTCTTTAATCAGGGTCCCAAACTCCTTCCAAAATACCGCGTCAAGTCTTTCCTCATGTCTGGACGCTCTCTGGAGACACCAGTGGATCCACATCTGTACAACTCTGTGAAAACTGGATTGGTGGATTTGCTCGGGGATCGTTCATACTTTGGATCGAAAGTTCTGACGCCATACTGCTACACACTCGGTAACGCACACACGCTGGTCTGCACCAGTGGTTTACTTCATAAATGTTTCCTGTAGCTTATCTACTGAAGGCTTCGTTCTTTTCTTGTTGCAGATGTTGAAATAAAACTTGATGAAGAGGGATATGTGCTGCCTGCCAGCCAAACTGATGACGTATACAAAAGGTAAACCAGTTTCATGTTTTCGATGTCAAAGCAGTGAAAGTAAAGCTCGTATTTGAGAGCTGTATGGTGACGTTGCAGGATCGCTCTGTGTATTGATGGACAAAAGAGGTTCACGTCAAACTTGAGGCAGCTTCTTGGAAAAGAGGCCATCAAGCAGCGGCATCTGCGCCTTCTGGGATATGAAGTTGTTCAGGTTAGATCCTCAACAGTTCTTAGATTTGTGTAGATCAGTAAATCCTAAAATTCAAACGAAATAGCCGAATTTGTGTTTTTCTTTCTAGATTCCTTACTTTGAGTTTGAAAAGCTGCAAAGCAAGACCAGCATGGTGGAGTATCTACACCAAAAGATCTTCCCTCACACCTACAGGCTCAGCTGGTGACCGAGAAACCGTTTCGCTGTGGTTGGAACTTCAGGGCTTTTAAAAAGGAAAAACTCCATATTTATTTTTGCTAACAGTAATTGCCAAGTTAATGTGTTTTAAGTTATCACCTGCACATGCACAAATTTAACTGGACAATAAACTGTCTTTTGTACAAAAAAATGACTTGATGGAATGATTTCTATATCACACAAGGATGAGTATTGTTTGAAAAATATAATTTATTTTGTTTTTTGCAACAGGGTGCCGCAAAACCTGTACAAAGATAATAGAAACCTAATTCCAGCAATCA